TGAACTGTTTGAACTAATTGGGAAGAAAAAAACAGCATAATTGGGGCAAATCATAAGAAACCAAAGTAAGGTCGAAAGCAGGAGGGGGATCGGAAGGAAGACGGGGCTGCACGATGGACAGTCGTTAATACAAATATGCATTAGCAGATATGCATTGGAAGAAGAATTCGTCTAGTTCTTCACGAGACATACTAGCTTCACACTGGGAATGAGTTTCGTTAAATTTATTTAACGTGTGAAAATGTTAACACTTCAATCAACTCATAGCATTTAGGGGTTTTGTTTAGCTTTGTTCGTTGAATGTTTTATTGTAGCTTTGTATCTTTATTGTGTTGGAATGTTTAAGGTCCAGTTTCTTCTGCAGAAAAATAAAAATTCTAGAAGATTTACTTACCGCCTTGCCTATATCATTGCCGCTAATCATTTTTTGCTACCTAAAATCGAAAGGTCCGGCCTTGACTAGAAATCAAAAATTAAAGAGGATTAAAAAGAATTTTTAAAGGACATTAAAGAGTTTAATAAGTTTTTGAAGACGTCAAAAGCAACATTTGATTAAATACTGGGTGTAAAAGTCCAGACGGAGAAAATAAACAAAAATTATCGAGATGCTATAAATGCAGAGCAAAAAAATTCTCCAAAGCTGAACTGAACCATATCAAATGATCCCGTACAATTCGATATTTTGGGTATCAATTATCTGTTGTTTAACAGTTTTCGCGGGTTCTACAGGACAAGTATTTTTAACTACCACAAAATTCTCATGACCGGTTTTGGATTGGAACACACATAGGTTGCATATTAGTTAGTAGAAAATGTGACAGAATCACAAAAACATTTTTTATTAATAACATTATACATTTTATCATTTTTAATACAACCCGGGTCAAAAATATTTAAAATTAAACCACTAACACAATGGAATTGCGATAGTAGCAAACGATGCTTGAGGCAAAATCTATCATATATCTCGGTTTACACAAATGGTATCCATGCAATATTATTCTTATTCTTATTAGGGTAACCAACAATTATTTATTACTTATGTTTGTAATTATTTATATTCATTTTAACCCATTTTCCATCTTTGCAATGAATATACTACGCTTAAGACTAAATAAAAATAAAACTTATAATAACCCCAACTAGAAAGAGGATCACTAAATTTTCAAAAGGGTCATCAAATTTCTCTAATATGACTTTCTCTTTCAGGACTACAAGCCTAGAGTGCCTCCACCTAGATTTGAATAGATAGAGGCAAGGAAAAGGGTCATACCCTGCCGGAAAACTGAAAAGGTATCGAACTTCAAAAAAATCCTTAGCCAGATCAGAGAATTCTATGCGTGGCTGAATAATTTTCATATACCGCTGATGAATTTTAGGTTTAAAAATAATTCAAGTTAAATTAAGAGCCTCCGTAAAAAGTAAATTTCTTGAAAATTGGTAAAAGCTTTCGCGATGTGGTTAAAACATTTTTTTTTAATTCTGCTCGGTAGTAGATAATGGTAATAGAGATTATTTTCTTTGTCATACACGCACATAATTGTTATAAGAGATTGTTTATATTATTTCTCCATTTTTCTACCTGTTTGGATTTTTTGGAGGTAAATCTTTTGCACAATCTTGTGTATAAACAATACTAATACCAACAGTGCTGGTGTTAACTAGAAATATTTTTCAAAGTGGCAAAAGTGTCTTCATTTACACATAAAATATTTTCATGTAACAACAAAATTTGTAAATTTTATTAACAGGTATTTTGGTATTGTTTATCTATAGATTTAAATTAAAAAACATCCTCATTCGAAGAAAATGTACACTGAAGATTTTTTTTTAATATTACATGCTGCTATTTTGTGACAAATAAATTTTCTAATACATGTTTTTTTTAAAGGTAACGCGAATTTCTAGTATATCAATTTGTAGGTTGGTTTGGGGGTTTTTAAGAAGTTGAATTAAAAAAAATACAAATATTTAAAGAAAATATTGTTTGACCACCAAATAATAATGTGTAAATGATCTCAGTTAATATATATGGATATATAAAGCGATTAAACAGCGAGAACACCCCATTGCTAGCCGTCCTGTAAAATTTGTCTCACTTTTCTATCACGCTGTCATTTCAGTTTATCCCGGGAAAGTATTTAAAACGTCTTCGGTTAAAGAAACAAAAATAAATAACATAGTCGATGCTTGCAAAATCTAATAATACAACAGAAAACAACAAATAAATGCCTCCTACCGCTTACGTACGGTTAATTTACAACGTATCAGCGTTAACGAAAATTACTCGTCGCCGAATCACCAAAGATAAGGAAGGATGTGCAATTATATTTGAAAATTTTGTCAACATCCTATTTCATGATAAATATTGCCAAGTTGCTGTTATATGTGTAGATTAGATACCTGAAATTATATAGTGGTGAAGTAACGCTGTCACCGTGAGGAAATCGAATCTTATCACAATTAAATAAAATACCCACCTTGTTTAATTTTTTTTTATTGGCCGCGAATTAAGGACTTGCCTACTAACTGAAAGCGGAACAAAAACAATTTTGGTTAGTTCTGGTTAATGTTAAACGCGAACAACGTTTTAACAAACAAATTGGAATCTAATATGTCCTACAAAAATATTGCTTATTGATGAAATAGAGAGATTTCTTTTTCTATAAGTATGTCTTAAAAAAGAAAATTAAGGATTTATTTGCCAAAAATAATTTTTTGTTTACCACAAAAAGCTTCAAATCTGAACTCAAACTAAATTTTGTGTGATATTATCAAATCCTCACATTATAAATTTTAATCGTAAAAACGTTCGTAATGCACAGGGTGGGCAAGTCTTGATGTTTCTATAGGAGGCGACTTACCTATAAGAAGTATAAAAAATGGTACATTCTGGATCGCTTTCTTTAATAGGAACTCATTTGTGAAACCTAGAACTGACTAGTTACAAAAAATATGTTTACAATTGTTTAGATACTTTTTTGAGTGCATTCTTCCGCCGTTGTTTTTAATTTATATGTACATGTAATTTTATATATGCAACTCATAGTGCTTTTCTCTTTTCAACCATACATAACATCTGTTTTGAATAATTATGGTAATGTTTTTCAAAATAAACAAACAAACAAAAAAAGTATTAGCAAGATTAATCATGATTTTAGCTGATATAAACATAAACAATAAAATTAAAATAAAGTAAAATCTGAACTTAATCTATTAGAAGTATGTCTTTAGACAGTAGTGATCGAACTGGTGCATCACTATTCAGCTAAAAACACTACCATAATTGTTACTATTTTGCTTAAAGCATTCTTGCAAAAGGTATATGAAAATCGTCGAAATCAAATGATTCATTTTTTAATTTTTAACTTTAAAATGTTAACTGACTTTGACAAGCTATTGCGAGGAGTATTTTAAATAATATTTACGTCTATCAAACGAATCGTAAATAACCAAACCAATAGAAAACATATAACTTTAAAAAAATTTTCAACAAAGTATTATATGTCGCTGAAATGAGACAAAATACTTTGTTATATTTTTAGATTAGATAACCCTGTACATTGTTATAGATATAAATATTTTCTAGTCTGGCCAAGTAAACTTTTTGTTTTTTTTTGTCATTTCCATGTAATTTACTTGGTGATTGCCTTCCTACAAAGGTAGGTACTCAAAATTTCCAACTAACTATTAGAGTGCATATTAGCTGCAAAATTTAATAAAAAAACTCTTTTTTATTAAGATAGATGTGTAATTTGAGTCTAACTCTCATCTTAACTGTAAAGATTAAAATAACAAACCTTTCATCGAAGTTTTATTACTTTTTTTTTTGTATTGATAATTACAGTACAAGTGGTTCCTCAAACGCTATACGTTGAAGATTACGGAATTGGATATTATTACTCAACACGCCACTGGGGGCACATTTTAGAACCCCACTTGAAATGTTTTATCTGCACGAGTACTTGCGTCATATCTGCTCGCAATCTAAATTCGCAAAAATTTGAAGACATGCTGCTAGGAACACGCCAAACAAGTATACGTATAAATAAGTATTTTTTTACAATGGTTAAACGAACTTTTTTTTAGAGACAAGTTCTCGTAAGGATCTACTAAAAAGTGATCTTCTAGGCGATCTTCGTCGCGTATACATAATAAAAACAAAATAGTGCAAAATTACTAGAATTATTTTTAAAAATTGTTGAAAAATGCTCGTGAAAATATTCAACTCTTAATCGTACCGCTAATAAGTCTCTCTAATCAACAAAGCGTGTATACTAAAATTCTCGGTAATCTCTTTGGCTGAGTGCCATTCCCCAGACATGTTTTAATAACCTTTTAATGAAATGGAATATTTAACATTAAGTGTAGTCGGGTCGGGTAAACTGATACCTATTCCTTCTTTGTCTGCCAACAAAGTCACAGAATCAAACGCAGAGGCGTATCTGCCGTATCTGTATATGAAACAACGAGAAGTTCAGGGATAGGCAGCTGTGCATCTAATCGGGTCTCAGATAAGAACGTTTGTGTCACACTTTTTGTACACCGAGAGTGCGATCAATGTAAATCACAATGTTAATCCACATTCGAGGAAAATTATTAACTCAACGAAAGTACGTAATTCTCAAACCCTTACCAGCTAAGCCTAAATGTTCTCTAGATGTGAGTGATTTTAGTTAAGTGTTAAAAGTTCTGAAAAACCGAAAAAAGTAACTTTTTCAAATTTGGTAGAAGATATACATAATAAATTCATAATCTATAGTGAGGTGCTTAAAATTTGAGACAATTTATTTTTTATACTTGCAATATCGCACATCCCGAAGAAAACCGTATTAAGTAGTAAAATTACAATTTTTCATGTTTTGTCAAAAACAACTATTTTTAGGGTTCTACTTTACCCTAACAAGCCAACAAAGCTCTCATTTTATGTTTTATGCACTAGATGGCGCTAGGTAAAACGTCATATTGTCAAAATTATGTTGGTCGCCCGTTGAAAACAGTATTATTTCGGCATACTACGCCGGATTTTCTGATTTTCCGAAGAAAAGTGTATTAAGTATTAAACTTGTGTACTGTGCGATATAAATTTCTTATAATTTTTCGAAGAAAAGCGTATTATTTGTCTTTGATACGCTTTTCCTTCAATTGTCAAGGTAAGAAAATTCTTTTTTTTTATGGATAGGTGTATTATATGAGGATAATGCGTTATTCTTCAACTATGTTCGCGTGTGGGTAGTATTATTCTAGATTGATACCTTTTTTTATCAAATAATTTTTTTATAATATGAAATTCTAAATTTGAAAAAGGTGGTATAAGTTCTTAATACATTTTTACAGTAAAAAAGTTAATTTTTTTTTAACTTAAAAGAGAAAGGTTCCTCCTTTGCTCCTGGTGTTACTGAAGTAACGTCTTGCATTTTTAAATACTTAGAACAGAAGACAAATACCGTCAATAACGAAGACTTGGAAATTACTTTTTATAGTGATAACTGCGGAGCTCAGAATAAAAACAAGTAAGTACTTTTAATTTTGTGAACAAATAAACATTAAACGGTGTTTATTTTACTCAAGATAGAAAAGCATTTCTCATAAATTCCTTATTGCCGGACACACGCAAAATGAAGGAGACAGCACATATTCAACAATTGAAAAAGAGGTATTTTTTTTCCTATATAACTGTTCTCGAAAACTTCCGAAACTTAAAGAAAGAAAAGAATTAACACACAAAGACTTTATAGATGTCAAACAATTAACAACAGATATTGGTAATAATTTCGATAAAAATGTTGAAAATGAATAGGTTTACTTATCCCAGATTAAAATTGTAAAAGTAGAAAAGGAACAGCCTTTCATGTTTTTTTATAAACAGTCATATTCGGATAGCCAATCGAAGTGTGTTAATGTTAAACAACAAAAAATAAAGAGAAAATCTAGATCTGCGGCATCTTCTTTGCCAGCAGAACTTAAACTTAAAAAAGCGTATAATTCAAAACGCCCAATTAATGAGAATAAAAAAAAGGATTTAAAATTCCATTTTTACGAGCCGCTGTTTTAATGGTTTTTTGAAAACGTTTTTTATGACTTTTAAATTAAATTTTAAAATTGTTTTAACCTAAATGTTAATAATGCTTAGAAATAAATGCCTTTTTGAGTCATTTGTTCGTTTTAATTCACCTTTCAACAACAAAATCAAAGTTTTTTTGGGGTTTTTGATACTTTTTATAGATAACAAAAATAAAGCAATATAACAAATATGATAAGTATAATAAACTCTGAGAACAAAATGTATTACATCAATTCTTTAGATGCTCCTCCTATAAAATTGTTAATTAGGCACTTAGTACAGTTTTCTTTGGGATGTGCGACATAATGATTTTTTGTGATAATTTTAGAAATGTGAAATATAAAAGTGAATACTAAGTACTCTAATTTTAGTTTTCGTTGTGCAGGTGCCGTTAAATGCCCTTAAGAAATCAGTTTCTATTCCAAAATATGTAAAAAAGAAATTAAATTCTTTCATAATAATTTTGTTGTTGTTGTTTTCATCGTAGTTTGTTAAATTTGTGGAACTTCTTCTGCGAACTAATTAAACCAAATCATAATTAAAACTCTTTTTACGATTAATATTGAAAAAAGCGTTAGGAAAAAGATTAGTTAATTATTCCTTATCAATTGATTTTGAAATTAAATGATAGTGGTAATTTTAAGTTTTAACATTTTTTCGTTTCCTACTGTAAGTATATTTGGACTTGGTAATTTGAATGAATGAGATGAATGAATGAAAACATCTTCCGGTTGAAATTATAACCAGAAAAGAAATCAATAGTTTACTAGCCGATTTATTAAAAAATAGGCAATCAAAAAACCTCTACAAGAACACTTAACACGAGCTTATAATATCGAGAAATCGGGTCTGAAAACGAGCCAATATTATATAAATCAGACATTTCAGAAAATTGCGATGAAATGTATGATTTCTTGCGAACACTACTTTCCCATGATAAACGGTAGTTGTACGTACAACCTACTTATACAAGTCAACAACCAAATAAGGATTTAAGAGATTTTAGAATATTTACTATTTGGGTCAATACTTGCATTTTTTATTGTTAAACAAAATGTAAACCACGGGGCTAGGTGTATTGTTTGTTAATTCATAATTTAGTTGTTACGAATCATTTGATATTTTTTAAAACCATCATTATTGTTACAAATTTTCTCTACAAGCACAAACGTTAAGCGTTTAAATCTTAGTTAATATCACCCAAAACACACGACGGTCGCAGTCATGTTATTTTTTAAATCGTATTTGTATATGAGACCACAGCCAGTTGTTATAAGAGGTTAACTGCTCTGACTATTATTATACGTCAGGTGTTCCGCAGGATTCCAATCTTCATCCTTTGCTTTTTCTTCTATTTATTAATGATTTGGTTGCTTTAGTTTATGATTCGACAACATTTACATCTAAAATTTTATGATATAATTAGAATTACATTGACTGTCTAAAACTTCAACAAGCCTTGCAGAGAATATATGAGTGGACTATAGAAAATAAATTTTCATTTTAATACTGGTAATTTTTTTTGCTTAGCTTTAGTAGAAAGAAGGAACAAGTAGAAGTTGAATATAAAATTGGGGGAACAGTGTTGGCTAGAGTTGTGGAGATGCCGGATCTTGGTGTAACTTTTGATACTTAGTATCTATACGTAGAGCATCTAGAGTGTATGGTTTTATCATAAAAAATTGCAAGCATTTAATTCATTCTGTCTTAAAACATGGTACACATCATTTGTCAGAAGTATACTTGAATATTGTTCTTTTATGCAGTCTTTGTTATGGAACTCATAAGCACAACATGGAAGAAGTCCAAAATAAGTTTCTGAGGTTTTTGTATTAGGGTGAAACTAGTGTGGACCAAATGCACATACCAAAGGCCGTCATTATGGAATCTCCATTCTCTACAAAATAGAAGAAATGTGTCTGCAATAATTTTTTTATACAAATTGTTAAATAATAAGATTAATGCTCCAGAATTATTAATTTGAATTAATATTCATGTTCCAGCGTATATAACACGAAATTCCCAGAATTATGTATTCCTAGCATGTATCGTCAGTTAGTAAGCTTAAATCGAAACCCTTTGAAATATGAAATTAATTATTAAATTGTAAACTTTCTTAGGTTGTTGAGTTTGTAAATAAATAAATAAAAAAAATATATTACTAATCTCTATTTAATACTTTAAAATGATTGTTTTCGAGTATGACTCACAACGAGACATTTTCGCGTTCACGATACGTAAAATTTTTAGTCATCTTTGCTTTGTTAATGTGCACTTGGGCCGTAATACAAATATCAGCACTTCAAAGTTCCAGAAATAGCCTCGGATAGAAATTAAGAGCGGTAAACATTTGTTTGATGGACACGGGCCCGAAAGGCCGTGATATAAATAGTACGCGTATGGAAAATAAACGTTACAATGGTACAGAGAAACTTTTTTTAAGGAGGATATAAATTGATAAAGTGATATCTTCAATCTTGGCCGATAGTTTTGATTTGTTCGATAGCGATATTCTCACGCACATGGTTCAAATGCATCGAAGTCACTTTTTGGAAAACTAATACCGACAGTTTCTTGAAACGGAAACGCTTGGGCTTTATGTCACCTTCTCTTGTAAAGGATATCTAAAAGTGTACCTCTCTTTGAAACTTCTGCACCTTCGGAAGCGATGAAAAAATGCACGGAAATAGATCCGTTCATCTAGAGGTGTTAGAAAATAAATTATTGAAAGTCATTCGTTTGTATTTTCTTCATTCGTAAAGTTTTAAAAGTAGTTTATTAAATGGATTGTATTTCATTTACGCAACAAAAATTGTCCCTACGAATTTTTTGGGTTTCTCCAATATTGATAACTTACAACGAGTGTTTAATTAAATAACCAATTATAAAGAGCGTCATTTTCTATACGACCTCAATATTCGTCAAAGTCAAAGAAAATGTGCAAGGTGGTTAATAACAAATTTTAATTAATATCAAAACCGAAAATTTACATTTAGAAGCGAAAAATTTCTGGGTAAAAATTGACACCTTTAAAGCTATTTTAAAGCGTAGGTCAATTGTTTTACTTTTTCATCAAATGCAAAGGTTCGAAGAAAAACTGAATCAAAATTATGAACTTATACTATACTCGCATCCAAAATATAAAAACGGTGGTGGTGAAAAACTTGCGATATGCAGTTAGCTTGAACTCAGCGCCTTGATCCACTTATAGAGCTTATCTGCATAGTTTTTAATCGAATTTTGAAATGGGTATTTTCAAACGTTATCAGATTCAAAATCATCAAATAAGGAGTAATAATCCAAACTAACTATTGCTGATTTTATATGAGTTTTATATAATTATATGTGTGGCTATGACTTTATTACTTTAAACGGAATGCCACATTTTTTAACTTACCAGGGAATGTACTTTTTAATGATCTATGGATTGATACTTTATTTAAGGTCTGTTTATTGAATGGTGCATCAACTACATAGGTTGTACAAACAATAAAATGGATAACAAACATAATGAAACATAGAAACTTGAAAACTAATTTATTGTCCAGTATTATAACGGGAACTAAATAATCAAAACTAACTATAAAGATAACATGAAACTGAAGAAACACTTGTACTTTGATGACATTTTTAAAGCAAAGCAAATTAGGACAAAACAACACCCCAACAATAATAATCAAATTTGAACAATTAAAAAACAAATAAAATAAGACAAAGCTGAGAGCCAAAGAATAATCTGATATTTGTAAGTACCAAAGGTCACTAAATGCAAAAAACCGTAATTCAGAAACCACCTCGGACAATACCAAATGTTACCAAAAACCGAAATTTTACGTATTCTACGAAAATGCGTAGAGTTAACTACAGGACGCCTTTACACAGCTAATGAAAAAGTACATTTGTAAGTTTAAAAATATTAAAGTTGTTATTAGATTGGGATACACTTTAGACACCCTGTACAATATTGAAAGTTTGAATTACTGTGATATAAAATGTGGTCTATTGTTACGCTGTACTGTAATTTTCGCTGACATAATTTGAATACTTCTTGTGTATTTGAGATATTAAAATTAGATTACATTTTGACCAAACTCAAATTAGTAAAAAAACTTAAGATTTGTCAAAAACCTTGAATGAAACACACACCTATTTTGATTTTAGAATACAAAAGTGCAATGATACATTAGAAAATTATAACTTTGATGCTTTTAACATCTTTGTGACAAACTGTATAGTATCAAAGTAATTTTAGAAAATAACCATAATAGGAGTTCCCATATCTCAGAAGCTAAACTTTGTGAAAACCGTGCCCTATAGTCCCGAATAACCCTGTATATACCGGGTTCACGGATTCACTTTAAATTATACATAGTGATGTAAGAGGAAGTGCTCTATCACTCTAAAATATTTTCAAGTATGGAGTGTTGCCACTTTTTTATAACGCGGCAACATTTTGCTTAGTGTAATTGGCACCCACTATACATCATTTCATTTTTAGACTCTACGCAAAAAATAAAGTACATTTTGTTCAGATTTTCCTATACCTATGTCTTACCGTTATAAAAAATGATTTCTTAGATTTTTTAGCAATTTGGATACTTGAAGAAATCTCAATGGTTCCGTACTTTAAACAGAAAGCCGAACTTTTGCAGACAGTTCAGGGTTTTTTAAAGGTAAGATTTTGTATGAAAGTTTGGTTTTGTTAGTTTCTATGTATGTTCCATCAAAAGAATGACTGAACGCTTCCAGAAACTGTTTGGAAAAGTTCGGCTTTCTGTTTAATTAAAGCACGAGAGCATTAAAATTTCCTCAAGATATAGATAATAGAGAAGCCAACAAAATCTACTTCATTTCTTGCCATTTAAAATAAGCAAAATGTTGCCACGTTTATATAGAAGCGGCAATAGT